ATAACTTACAAACCGGTGGTACGCACCCCCATAAACCTTATACCAGTATCAGAAAAGGGAAATGAAATCAACGGATGTGAAAAAGTTTATGTTACTTTATTGACCACCCTGTACGGAGTGTCTAAAAAACTGAAAAACTGAGTGGATGGGGAAAATCCTGAATCACAAAATTTTTCTGTACGGAGGATTCAGTATCCTAGCTATAATGGTTGTGGGGGTGTGAGCTGTCAAAGTTGTGTGCTTTTTTCGATAGATTGTCCAGTATCACAAAAATTCGAAATTATCGTTATACATTAAATTGCTGTGCTTGAACGGGGCTATCCAAATCTGCCATAAAACGGGGGGCTTTACATTCAAATAAATGTATTTTTGGGATACCACACAGTTGTGAGTCACCCTTAAGAAATAAAAATATTTTCCAAGTCTGGAGCATACTGTTGTCTACAATTGTAATTAACTTCATTAGATACCATGCGTAATAAGGTAATAAATTTTACCGTGTATGTCTTAGGTCGAAAATCATTAGTTTTCAAGATTTTATAGTTGTTAGGATCCTTTTAATAATCACCTAGAAATAAGAAAAAATGCAAGAAACGCGAGATAACTCAACTTATTTTCGTAGATTATACTTAAACAGGCTAATAACGTCATAAAAGATATAAAAATACTACAGAGAATAAATTGACTGCATTTCCCAAAAATTAAATAGCTTTCAATTGCTGTTAAATATCGGTAAGAACAGATGGTCAATCTAACCGGTTGTCGTATAAAAATCAATTGACTCATTTTCAAATCTGATAACTGCCCGTGTCAAGCCTTTTTGGGAATCTAGCAGCTTCCTTATATCTCCACAAATGCGGAACAATCTGCCATGACCAATGATTCGGGTACGGCGATATAGTGCTTTATGGTTTTATACAGAACATATTAACATCGCCTTCCTAGTCGCCATATTTCTCGCATTTTGGAGCTACATAAAATAGCTCGACGACCCTGGAAAAAAGCGGGGATGTAAATGATATTATGCTAAATTTGACGCTTGGATGCTCATCTTCTTGCATCTACCTTTTACATATCGAATATTCTTCGGCCTCAGCCATAAGCTGTCCGCGATATTACTCCGTCACATTCATCGCCTTGTTGAAGTATCAGCCGTATAATTATAACCTTTTCACGTGAAAAAGCGCGTTCGCATTTTAACGTCTTTAGTACGTACACGTCTTGAATATAACGGCTTTACTTATTTTATTTATAGATGGTAATGAAGATGCAAATACGAGTATTCCTTGGTACGGAACATCAGGTTAAAGGGTATCTCAAAAATACTGTTTGTTGTTGAAGATTTAAACTTGAAGTGTGTCTAGACTTAACACTTTTGTGTCGAGATGTGGAGATGAGACAGAAAGACCACGTCATAAAGCACCATAAAGGAACGTAGTTGTCAAGCATATCTCCTGAAAAAGCCAAACTGGTTGTTGAGTTGTGATTGAGTCACTAACATTAACACGTGTGATGGAGGGAAACCAACATAAAATATGGCCTAATAGTGTTCAGCGATATATTTTCGATGTTTAAAAAGTGTTACTATCGATTTTTTAATTTAATTTTGCAATTCAAGAGCAATAACTATTATCACTGATTAATGTATTCTAGCTGATGGTAGGCAACGGAAAGTTCATTCCGAGGATCTCTTTCAATTTCCAAGATGCCAACGGTGTTGCCAAATATGCCCTGAGAGATTTCTTCAAGAAATGATAAAAATATACCGCATTACCATTTTAAAAGGAATTGTTAATCCTTAAACATGACACTGACCTGCAAATCCTCGGCCAACCTCCCCCGTAGTCGTTTCTGAGATTTCGTATCCTTAGGAGTTCTTAGCGATGGAAAGAGAAAACCCATGATGTCCGTAATATGTCGATTATGGCACAGGCTTTTCTGTAAATGTGCTGGAAACAATACACTAAACCTGTCCTCTTTCGTATTTCAAATTGGTTGTGAAAGGATGTGGAAGGATCTATCATAAAAAGGTTTTGCCGATCGTGGAGACATAAACCAGCACGAAACACGTATCTAAATAAGTACAGTGTCGATATTAATTTCCTCACCCAATTATCGCGTACCCAGAGAAAAAGCTTTAAACAAAAACTGGAGGGTTTTGAGGGAGCAAAGCGATGGTGATCTTGACAATGACCTTGACTACGACCGTCAAGGTCGAGTCAAGGTCAAGCAAATTTAACGTCCGAACATCCAAGGTCAAATCGAACATCTAAAACAATTTATTGTAGCAAAAATGTTTGAAGGTACAATTGTAAGCTTTGTGGGGTTCACATTAAGGTGACCTTGACCATGAGTTCCACGGTAAAGTAGACATTCCTAAAGCAACCTTTAATTTTTATACTAGAATTAGCAAAAAAGGAAAATTTACGTACCGATGTGACCTTGACCTCAAATAACATTCAAGTTTGACGCGACCTCAACTTTGAGGTTAAGGACACACCCGGTCGTAAAGTTTCCTGTTTTCTCCATCTCCAGAATAAAAATGAGAAATATTAACTAGATCATCAAGGTCATGGTCAAGGTGACCTTTTGATGGTCCTCTCCGAGGTCCCCACAAACCTGATAACTGCGCTGTAGAACATTTTTGCTAGAGCAAGTTGTTTTCGATATCTTGTTTTACCTTTGAAGGCAATGGTCAAGGTCATGACCAATCTGATAATCGGACGTAAAACTTGCTCTGATGTGAAAAAGAAGGGTTCCACTTGAAAATATTCACTTGACCTTGAAATAAACCTGAAGGTCGTGGTCAAGGTCATTGTCAAAGTTACCGTCAGTGTGCTCTCTAGAAACCCTAATAACTTTCATTTAAAACATTTATTTTGAATATGCAGTTCTCGAGATATTTAGGTTGAGATATGAAAATGGGACACCGTGTATCTATAGAGGCCGCGATAGACCAATATTTGAATACCCAAGGAAGGACACCAAAAAGTGATGGAAATAAAATGATAATCCGAATATGATCTGACGTGGCATTGGAACAGATCGATACTCCAGGTTCTGTTTTCAAGTGTCTCAGTCTAGGAGAAAAGCAAAACGGTTCCACAACTCCGCTGCGACGACAACGTGATGCATCGATTGTAACTGCTTTAAACTTCTCCTATAATTGATGGCCAGGAAACTTCCGAGACATAACTTTCTCCACTCTAGGTGCGATAATGGATTTTGAGTCCCAAGTGCGTTCAAAGTTTATCTTTCGTATCGACTGAGAAAACAGAGTTAGGTAATCAACGGAGTTTCATGACAAGGTATCTATGAAGGTATCACGTTCCAGTTATGTACAGTATGAAGGCTTTGTTTGAAGGTGTACGATATATGTACATAGGTATATTGAAATACTTGTGATCTACTCCAGTTCTGCATCTTGTCGAACTTGCAGTTTATCTAAACTTAGTGATATACGTAACCATTCATTTCCCGTCCGGAACAGATGCCAACAGGCCTAAATTAAAACGATTCCGAAAGTCGTACTTGGTTGAGGTCATAAAACATCCGCTTGAAAAGTAGGCCTCAATGGCAAAAGAATGCTTCTCTCTGTTTCAACGCATGATGGCGACTGAACTGTGTTATGCCGCATCTTGTACACAGTCAAGTTTTGATTCCAGTTGACTCTTTTAAGTAGGCTTGACCAATCCTTCTGTTTCGGAAGCCGTAATGAAGGCATGGGAAGTATATCTGAACGTGTTTGGAAAACGCTACATTTCCGTTAATACGGGAACATCTGCTTATAGTTTGCAATGAGTTTGCTAGAAATTGCTAATAGTCACGAAGGTAACAAATATGTTGTACAATGCATGTTGAACGGTGATAAGAATTCTTCATGAGAATCGCAACATAAGTTGGTAGCTTTACAAATGAACGACTTAATTATTGGTTCATCATATTGAAAGGATGATTTAGATCGTTGGTTCAAGTTTTGGAAGACTTACTTAGATCATGGGCTTATATTCATTTAACATCACCTCTTTCAATAGCTTGGGGGGGTTGATGATCCAGGCCTGAATGGCCCGTGAGTAGAACATATACGGGGCGAAATGGGGCTGTTGTAATCTTGTTTGGTGGCCCCCGTTTTGTTGAAAATACACAATACAGAACTCCATATGCGGAAAGCGCAACAGGAATATATGCAATACCTATCCAGTGATCTGGGATTTTGAGAAGGAAATACTTCTATTTATTTTGTTTTCATTCATACATCTGGTATTTCAAAATATGGACGGTTTTTTCTTTCCCGAGGTCCATCAAACCACCCATATGCTTTGACTTGACACCTCTCTGTAACAAAGGTTAGATATGTTATTTTGAATGTAACACAAATAATAAGCAACAAAACATTTATCACTAGCTATTATTCAATTTTATGATGACGAGTATGAGGTCAGTGGTACTGTATTGTCGTAAATACTATGATACACTCCAAACATGTATTGTCTCACAAATCCATCTAACGGGATGCAGGAGACTTTACGTAATAGGCAATGTCACCTTAGTCCTGTTATGTACTCCACTGTGGTAACGTAGCTAACAAATATCTATGCATAAAGCTTTATTACCGTTTCGGGTTCATCAGTCGCTTTTTCTAGAACTGAATGCAGTTGAAACGTTATAATTTTTAATTTCGGTTATTGGTCATGCAAAAATGGAATTGAGAAACATCTACTTGCTTTTGGATGGCGTCCGATGTCACATTCGACACTTTTAATAATATAATAATAAAAAAAAAGTTTTTAACTCAAAAAAAATTCGCAATCGATAAAAAAACAGTTTTAACTGCACCTTGATACTCAGACGACACTACAAGATAAGCTTACGAGGTTACCAACACTGAGAGACGTGCACAAAAAGTTCCATTAGATACATTTATAGACTTTGGTCAGTCGTGATGTGTAAAAAGCTATATGAATCTGATATATATATATAACTTGTTTTTTTGTTTTCAGGGTTCAAGCAAAGGAGAGAGGCCTAACAGTCCTGCTTTTGGCAGAGAACGAGGACAACTACAGGGTACTAGAGCTTCTAGATAAATCAATATGTCTTATAGGAAATTGCATTTCTATAAACAAATTCTTAGTCTGGACTCCAGGATTGAAGAATCACAAGGACGTCAAGACGCTAGGAAGCAGGGTAGAAGTGAGTATTATAGCAATATAATAAAAACGGGGCTAACTCAATATACAGGGTGCGGCAGAGAGGACGGACGTTTTTGGGATGGGTAGTACTATCTCGTCTCGTCTACGAGAGAGGTGGGGAGGGTGCCGTTTGACTCGTGAGATCCTAGCATTATTTTACCAGTTGTCGTTATGGAGCCTTGGACGGTGGAGCACCGCGCTTCCGCCTATGATTGTTTCGTCCGAAATAATGAGTCAGTCATCGTCGTACAGCGTGAGTTTCGTCGCCACTTCAACATTCATCGGAATAGAGCTGTTCCCTCTCGAAACACCATCCTTCGTTGGGTTGAATCACTTCGCAGGCGTCGTGAACTGATCAACAGAAGACCAAGAGCAGCGCCGCGAACAGTTCGAACTCCTGAAAATGTTGAATGCGTTCGACAGGTCTTTCTTCGCAGTCCGACTTGATCTGGAAGGGCGAAATTCGTTTGGAAGTTGCCCAAGTTGAGAGAGCGATGTTGGAGAGGGTCTACGCGAACTTCCAAGAACGCCTCCAGCACTGCATCAACGATTTAGGCCACCACATCCCTGATGTGATTTTCCACACTTGACTATCTCAAATGCCATTTCCTTGTGAACCTGATTCCATCAATAAATTTGTTTTCGAGTAAAAATTAACTATTTTATGATTTTTTTAAAACTGTCCATCCTCTCTGCCGCACCCTGTACAACATTTTAATGATACACAAGTATTTGCTAGTGCTCGAAATGAGAGGCGATTGGGATGCCGACTCTAAAACATTGTGCAACTTTTTTCTAGCTTTGCCATTACATATCCAAATGAACCGGAAATTCATGAGGACATTATGTGTGGTAACTTACGTGTATGACTGTTTTCCTAGGTGCTAGCCTGAAACATTTTTAAACCTATTGTTAAAGGTTAAATAGGAACTTTACAACGTATTGGAAGAAATGTTTATTTTGTAACGGGTCCAATATTTTTCAATCAGCTTCAAATGTACCGAAAAGATTATGAACGTATATTTCCGCTGTGTAAAACGCAAAAATAAAACTTTTCGTACTTTCTTCGGACAAGTGCGCTAACACTATTTTTGAGCTCCTGAAGGGGTAAGTAACGTTTTGTAATATGTTTAAAAACCATTTCGATAAGTTGGGAAAGATCCATAAAATTTGTGTCTCATTCAAGGTGAAAATATCAGATTTTATGTGCATGTCCATGAAAAAAAATCCAAAATCAAACTACATTTCTTTCCTTATCTTGTGTGACTTGGTCTCCAGGGTATATAGGAATTGACCACTGCGAGAGTGAGAACGGCAAGCGCTGTGTTGGAACTGCATCCCGTATCGCATTGCCGTGTGACTACTGTAACGGCTAGCTGCCGCCAATTCTGGTACTATATTACTCGTTTGTTCTATGGCAAGTAGACCATATTCACTATAGCACCAGAGTCGGCGGTATCTGGCAGCCACAGTGCTGACCCGGCTGACAGTGCGCACTGGGATGCAGTTCCAACAGCCAGCTTGCTGGTCGATTCTGGTAATAGATGACACTAGCTTGTGTACCTTCTTCAACTTCCATACTGAGCCTGAACAGATACGGTATTACTTTTAAAGAAGAAGTAAGATATTGAGATAATTCGCCCCCCACCCTCTGCTCCTCTACCTATGATGATCAGTTTCTATATTATATCGCCGCTGGTTGCCCTTCAAGAAAACCATGTTTATAGTGCTATCCGGCTGAAGCGGACCTCAAATGGATATTTTTGGATAGATTAAAGCATGCATTAACAGCGTAATCTATCTTAATTGAACCATCACTTTTTCGCACTTGAATGAGCACTCACGCAACATACACCACAAATGAAGACATAGCAAATCCCCATATTCTAATAATGACCCCAAAGCCTTGAGCATAAGAAGCCGATTGAGTCATTCCAAATATATCAAAGCAATCAATCACCAGACAATTTAATCGAGGTATGTTGTAAGGTGGTATATGCGGCGCCGTCATTTCTTTCATTACAGATTTTATTGCCTGTTTTGTAACTTCCGTTTTGGACGTAATAGACGCGCTAATTGCTGGATCTTAGCATGAATGGCACATGCTCATTAACTTTGAATGCAAACATGCGGTTGAAACAATGCGGTGTTTGATGCATATTCGTAAACATTTACAACAAGTTTAAGGTTTCCTCAGCTATATCCAGATAATTCGTGATTCGTTGGAGTTCAAGTAACGCAAGTCAAGACTAAGATATTTGTAACAAAATTACGTTTTGTGCTCTAAGCCTCATATATTTATTTGAAGCTTCAGGCGCCGGTAGGTAATAGTTAGTGGACTAAACGTCGAACAAGTTCGTAAACATTCAAATCCTCAGCAGCTACTTTGAAGAAATTTAATGTGAACTTTTAGTACAGTTACAAGTTTTAATAGGGTTCGACCGATAGATTCCGTCTTTGGCCAAAAAATATCAATCTTTTTCAAAAATCTGTACTCACGAGACGCTTTTTGAAGTATCGCATGCTGAAGGAGTGAAATGCGCATAGCCATAGTCAACTAACTTAAGAACAGACGAAACATTTTTTAGAACGTGCTAAGCCATACAAACATAGGCTCTTAGTCAGTATTTTTTATTAATTTGTCTCCAAATTCTTATAGTCTGTACTAAAAATCATTGTACATGCCACAAGTACATACATTTGGAATAGCTAAATTTTTTATAGTTCTATCAGTAAATTCGATTTTTTAATATTTTTTAAAAGTGCGAGTGTTTGCAGATAATTGTGGTGTTAGACTATTTCAAGACATGGCACTCCTAACATAATTTGCAAAAAGTGGCACAAGCGTAATGAAGGTAAATGTTCTATTATTAATATGTGGATACACCGCTGTCACTCTGGTAGGCACTGATAGTCGATTGACTCAAAAGTATGACATAAATCTACGCAATTTCAGCGACAAACAGTGCAGCGTAAACATATAGGCCTGGGGACTTCTAATCTACCAGTTCGTACTAGGGTACTATTTTGTCAGATGCTCAATCCTGCAGTACAAACATACCATGAAGAAAAACCCACTTTAATATATGGTTTTGGTATTCTGTTGTTGGCATAAACGCTTATTGGTTTTTGTTGAAATTTAGTTTCATGATTGTTCTGGACACAGACTGATACTTCCTCTGTTTAACTAAATGGATCAAATGGTGCATTTATTTCAAACGTATTGAGTTATACTTAAAAACATAGCTCTGTTGAAAGTTTAGCTGTTTTTGAATTTCTGTTCCGAATTAATTTTTTTTTCATTGCAAGTTCAAAATAGTCTTTACCCGGGTAAACCGCGTTCTATCCACTTTCGTGTGGTTAATGTTAAAAAATAACACCATAAATGTTTTAAAAACACATTTTATTGAAAGAACAGATTTTAAAAATCAAGGGTTACACTGAAACTGTATCCTAACAAAGTATAAGATACTATAATCTATTTGTTTAAACAAGATAAGCTGTTATGACATTTTGAGTTACAGAGAATTCGAATAGCCTTACATTTACACTTATTGGTCATGCATTTAGTTTGACAGTTGCATCGTTTGTAACCTTGACTTCCTAAAAGAGATTGTTCATTTGCAAGTTGTCGTAAACTTTTCTTCTCCAGTGATACACTTGCCATATCTACAAGTTTATCATTACACACAGAAAATTGCTTCCTGGACAACATCTCCTCGATAGTTCCTATCTTGTTTGCTAGCTTATAAAAATCGTCTGGAATTTTCACTCTCACTGTATCTCCAACAGAACATGGCGGAAACTTTGAATTAGACAAAGCTTTCATTTTCTTTGCTTGATTTTCTAAATTTCGTTTTGCCTCTAGTCTGTTTGACCGTATATTTTTTTGGGCACAAACAAAGTTCACAACATATGTACTTGGTCTGTCACACTCTGAACATTTCTCCTGATTATCTGAAGTTTCCATATTACCAGCGTTTCTATATTGTTATTGCATATTTCCATTTTCAGTAATATTTTCTTGCATGTTATCTGTTTCTGGGTTACTGCCCATAGATTGGTCTTCATTTTGTTCTTCTTGTAGCTCTTCACCTACACCAAATTCCTACACAACCATCTCGAGCTCTTCTTCGGTTCGTAGATTTTCAATAGCTTCTTTTGGAAATGCTGAGGTGGATAGGCCGACTTTAATATCATGCCCAAACATGGCAGCATAAGGAGCTTGTTTTATCCCGTCATGGTATGCCCTATTTTTCAATAACTGGACAAATCTTATGACCATCGCCTGCAGTTTTCATCATCCATCCACGTCATAAGCATATTTTGTATATCTTGATTTGATCTTTCCACGCTGCCTTCTGACTGACTATGACGTGGTTTGCCATGGACCATTTTAAGGCCACTCAACATTATACATAACTTTTCAATGTCACGGTTGGCGAACTCACGGCCGTTGTCCGATTGTAGTATGGATGGGGCGCCGAAAATACAAAATATGTCTATCAGGCTCTTAGCTACTTCCTCAGCACTTTTCGACGTTAATACACGTATTTGAACAAATTTAGTTAAATGGTCCTGATACACCATGATAAATTTATATTCTCCATCGGGATGTAATTGCATGTCAATCAGGACCACTTGACAACGCCTGTTCTCCGAAAAAACTATCGGGTTAACCACAAGTCCTTTTTTGACAAATTTAAGTTTTTTTTGGCACCCTTCACACAAGCGCAGATACAACTTAATAACATCTTGACTTATATTCTTGTACTTTTCCTTACATTCACTTTCCATAAATTGTTTTCCACCATATCCTATAGCTAAATGTGCATCGTGCAAAATGTCAAACATTTTGTCGTTTGTAACATAATATTTTATGCTAGATTCACCTGATGATGCACGAACAATAAGCTTTTCAACGCCTGTCACAGAACATATGTCAAACCCCTTTAACCGTCGATATTGTAGAGTAGTCTTAGTTTTAGCTTTTTTTGTTAACTTATTCTACCATTTCTTGGTATTGTTTGCACCTTTTAGAACTGCACGTGGTGGAAGATGATGCAATAATAATTTCTACATCCAACTTTAACCAAACGCGTCTTACCCGGGTAAAGTTCGAAATATGTAAAATTTCAATAATATTTTGGACATTAACCACCTTTTCTGGGTACTGTGCAGTTTACCCGGGTAAACCTAAGCTTAATCGTTATTCTAACTTTACCCGTAACATATATATTGTATATGTTCATAAATAATGCTGCCTCAATTTGACTAACCTCGTATCTTTTACAATTTCCGTTAGAAATGGATGGGGTGCGTAGATGCCGAATCTAATATAGTTTGACTCGCGGAGATTGCCTATATGACATCAGACCCCAGAACCCTTCAATATTCCTTTTTTTTAAAGACGTTTCATACTCTTGTAACAACTGCTAGCAAAAATGCCAATGGCTTTTAGAGATTAGTGTCCCTCGCCTTCTTAAAAGAACTTTAATGAGTAACAATATCTTTTCTTTAGGCTATATTCTTAATGGACGAGGGTAAACTTAGAAAATACGTCAGTAAAGATCAATCCCCAGCCAGTTGTGGTGGAACATGCACCCATGATCAGCTGGAATGGGTGGAGTTCTTCAAACAGCTGGAACCCTTCTTGAGCACATGCAAATCAGCTGGGAAGAACCTTCTCTCCATACTTTCACAGTTGAGGAACGAAGATGTGCCTCATCAGGTGACTAGGCGGTTCTTGAACCACCAGTGCAGGTACCTGTCACTTACGTCATTAATATTCTATCGATATAGTCAACCTAATGGTATATTCCTGCATCCAAAGACTAATCGCAGATAAAATGAGATACGTTGGCCACAATATACAAGTTCAAGTATACCGGCAGCGCCATCTATGAGACACTGACCTTTTCAAAGAAAACATAGTAAACAGAGAAACAGCTGTGACAAATTCGCTTATATGAAGCTTCGATATATCATTTTGTAAACTAAGCATAGTGCTTTCATCCTCCGACCAAAAGACAGCCAACCATGGACAGCTGTCTTGGCTACCCATCAGCATGGTCTAGGCTTGGCCTCCTGTCTTTCGATTCCATTTTATCTCAGATAGTTTCTTGGACGTGGGAATCTAGCGTTAGGTTGGATACCTTCAAGTAAAATACGTTAATCAATGGTGATATCAAGAGTAATGTTAAAAGCGTAAATTAAACGAGTAGCTTATGTAGATTTCGGTATTCTACTCTGAAAACACTCAAATCATATCCAAATGCAAAGTAGAGTAAAAAATAGTAAATACGTTATTATTGACTGCATTTTTGTCATACTCGTTGGTTCTGAATCCAATCAATTATTCGGCTTTTGAGTATCACGCGCACAGGACTGTTTGCATCCACTCTACCTGTATCTTGGATTTGAGTGAGGTTCAGGTAGAAGTACAAAATGTGTACTGAGTATATGGCTCAATATGATAAAGAGTGATTTTTGGGGTATGGATATAGGCACATTTTATTGAAAAAAATCATTTCTAACGCTCTCAGGCAAATAACCAAGGCACTGGAGTCCGAAACAATCCAAAAACTGAAACGAGAGGGAAACAAGACTTTGACAAGCTTAGCGGAAAGAAGTCAATGGTTGTCTAGCAGTAAAGATGTCAAGAGAAATGCCACAGTTGCATACGATTCCTTCAACGCAGTGGAAAGAGTGACCAAGAGGCTCGAGCAGTTGAAGCAAGAACGTGTGGAGAAGTTGAAGGAGCTTGCCAAGTTGAAGACGTTACAGGAAGAAGCTGATGAGGTACAATATTAAGCAGCTATTTTGTTATTTAATGTAAACATTATGCAGCTTGGAGGCAGATGGTTATTTTTAGGAACTACTATAGGGTGTTCCTTAGTGATTTGCGAATATCTAAAGGTGTAAATCTACATGGAAAATTAATGTTAGTTTGCTTTATAAACTATGGTCCAAAAATGTTTACTTACAAGAACTCGGGGTGTTGAAGTTTTAGGAGAAAAATGGAAATTAATTAATATTTTCATAACCGCTTCAAATATTTCACTGATATTAAGTACGTAGTGAAAGTTAATAAAGTTGCATCTTTTTCAATGCAAAAATAATTTTTAGCTTTAACAGTGGCGTGCGTACGGGTATTGACTTCGATATTTTTTAAGAAACAAATGGTACGCCAATGGTTTTTTCCCAAATAAAAATATGTACATATAATATATATATATATTTTTGAATTCCCCGTTCAATTTAAAACAAACGGTTTCTCTTGAATTGTTTTCCTTCGGTGCGCCATTTTTGAGTAAAAAAATAAAAACCCTACTACTGTCCGAGAAAATTAATGTAATAATTGAAGAATGCAATTTAGCAATAAATATCTAGTTGCTCTGGAATATGACACTGGCTTTTGACATCTTACGAGCCTCTGATATTCAAATCTGTTCGCTGTGACATGTTTTCATTATTTAGTTTTTACAATCTTGTTAATAATGGTGAATTATTAAAATGCAGAAATGGCGGAAAAGCATTACGTATATAGTCTTGCCGACGGTAATGGTGAGCAAGCCAGACGGATTTATCACCAGAAATACCCCGATCCTGCTTTGCCAGATAATCGAACCTTTTCTACTATTCATCATCGCCTTGTTGAAACTGGTTCTGTCCGAGAAGGAACATCTGAAGGTCATGTTTCTGAAATTTATCGCTTTAGGCTTGACGGAAGAGGTACCATTTTTCGACTTGTAAGCGTCTTACCAAATTTCCTAGTCAATCCTCACCTCCAGGGCTTCCTCTTCCAGTTTCCAAGTATTTCAGAATAATTCAAATATCCGAAATTTTCGGCTTAAAAAATTCAAAAGCGTTAAAAATTTCAAGTATCTTCAAAATTGACGAGACCTTACAGATTTTCAAAATCCGTACCTTTTAATGTTGCCAAAAACTTCAAAATAAAGAAAACCTTGAATATTCAAAAACCTTCAAGTTGCTCAAAAATGTAATTTTTATTTGTGTTCTCAAATGTCGGGAACGGTATTCTCAAAATGGGTCAGAAGGCAAGACGAAAACTGCAGTAATTTTTCTGTGAACTGAAAACGGGGTATTCCACCTTCTTATTTCAACTAACCGACCTGACATCCGGAACATCTGGTATAAATGAATTTATAAGTCTCGAAGAAGTTCCGCGGTATCCTCAAACCAAGCTGCATCAAACCGCATCCTTGGTAATCTGTTAAATTGCCTGCTACTTCACGCATACTACTAACGATCCCTTTTTATTTGCCTTGCCGCCTCTGAGATTATAGAAGCAGTAAAAACTTAAACAACATATCTAACAGCATCATTATGTGCTAATATTCCATTAAGCAGCCTCCGTAATCATTTCATGGCAATGAAACATGCCGTTCAATAGGTTATTACGTACAGTGCTTTCCTGATGCAACTTTTTTTGCCTCACGAGGAAATGATTTACTTGTGCAATTTTGTTTTCAAAATGGCATTTTCAAATATTAGGGGAAAGAGAACGCTTGCTTTCCGCTATCATTAGAGCAATTTCAATTAATATAGGTTGGACAAAAATTCCTGAAATAATTTTCCAACCACCGCCCAAAAATAGCAAAATTTGGATCGCTTATTTAGAAACTTTCTTGATTTATACTTAAATCATCGACTAGATTCTCTTCATTTATTTAACTGGAGAAGTACATTGGTTTGGATTAATAGGCCCTTCGCATAAAAAGTATAACATTGGAATCCTTCCAAAACCAATATTTTTGTTGCAGTGAACAAAATAGTCGAACAATATAACAAATGAGGAAGAATGATATTATTTTTTTAGAATAAACGCCTAGGTTATGCGAAATTCTATAAAAGTAATTATTTTCTTGGATATTTTTGAAATAATATATTCATAGTAGCCTTCAAATTTTAATTTACTGTTTACGTATATGCCCAAATATTTAAATGATTCGATTGAAACAATTTTTTAACATGGTTAATTGTACGATTTATCGTATTTTGATCTGAAGATTTTCCTATTAGCATATATTTTGTACTGTTTGTGTTTAGTTTAAGTTTATTTACATTTAACCAATTTATTACGTTTTTCATATCATTATTTAACAGCTCTAATGCAGTTTAAATGTCTTCATTTGATATATAAATATATAACGTAAGCAGTAGTCAATGCCAAAGCCAACGACGAGTTGGGCACAAAATACAATTAATTGTTAATTGGGAAATTGGCAAAATTTTTAGGCTTAAGTTGACTCTTTTGACTATAAAATGCATTCCGATTGTTTCCCTAAAATGTCTTCTCATGTTTAATAATTTTTAATATGTTCGGGTGTATTGATATGTTTAACATGTAACGAAGGTATCTGTCGTTATCAACAAGCCCAATATCTCCGTACCTTTTGTTTTTATACTTATCACAAGTTCTATCTTCTCTACGTTCGTTTTGGAACACCTTGTGGCTGCAATCTCAACGACGAAATCCTGATAAAGGCTCCATAGATAATACCGAAAGCTTGATCTTATCGTCAAAAGAGTCAACTTAAACCTAAAAATTTGCCAATTTATATATATATATATATATACAGGGTTATCCAAATTAAGTGTCCACCATTAGTAACTTTGTTATTAGTGAAAATACAAAGTTGTTTGAATTAGCAAACTAGTAGCATTTTTAACGCTGGTAAAAATGAGAAATAAAAAAAAACAATTGAGAGTCGTTATTTTGATTTTTTTCAGTAAAATAACATTTTTTTAAATGGAAACCCCTGTATATTATATTTTTTTCTGTTAAAGCATCAAATTTTAAACAAAAAAGCTTACAATAACTTTTCTCCTAGGTTACAAATTGTTGAAGTTATGGCCTCCAATCTGAAACAATTAAATTGTATCGACAAACTTTATTTTCAACATCAACTTATAATCTTACAAAATACAATAACAATTTTTTTTAAAGAAGATGCTCGAAAACACCACCTTGTCCTTCAATACATTTTTGGGCACGTTTTTCAACTGCTCGAACTGTCTTAAGTATGGTCCTACCATCTATCTGGGTTATCTTTTCCCTAACTGCAGTCTTTAACGCGTCAAGGTTATCGTACCTTCGCTTGTAAATTTGGTTCTTTAAGTAACCCCACAAGAAGTAATCAAGTGGGTTTAGATCTGGTGATCTGGGAGGCCACTGTATTGGGCCATTTGTTCCTATCCGCTGATCATTAAAAGTAGTACTTAGAAAATGATAAGTACCTGTGGAGTTGTGGGCAGGTGCGCCATCTTGCTGAAAATGCAGATGATGTCTACTTATAAGATCCAATTCGTCTAAGAAATTAGTCAGAATTTCTGACATAAATTCCACATATCTTTCACCAGTTAGGGTTCCCTCATAAAAGAACGGGCCAACAATTTTTGAACCAATTATACCGCACCAAACGTTGAAACTGAAACGGACTTGTGGGCCTCTTGGATGTACTAACAAAAGATTTTCTCTTGACCAATAATGGTGGTTTTTTCTATTAAACATTCCAGAATTTGAAAAATTTGATTCATCTGTCCATAAAAGGTAGCGAAAGTTATTTACATTTTGGCGACAGAAGCTAAGATACCAATGGCAAAAAACAAGTCTTCTCTCTGGATCCCCTGCCAAAAGCGTTTGAACTGGTCGGTACTTATACGGAATAAATTTGTATTTTTTTAAAATCCTTTGAACAGTACCATAACTGAAATTAGAGTCCTTGAGAATATCTGCTATTGAATTCTCACGATAAGCTTCAAAATATCCAATAACTGCAATTTCCGTGGCCTCGCTTATTATGAATTCTTTTTTTGCCCTTGTTTTAGCAAAAACATTTTCGTTGCCCCTAAATTTTCGATAAAGTCTCAGAAAATATCGTTCATACGGTTGAATGCGAGCGGGATATAATTCACTGTAGTATTCTCTTGCTCTCAAGGAGGATTTTCTGCACACTAAATAGCATTCTAACATATCACACTTTTCTTCATGGGAGAACATTTTTCTTTAAATTAATGACACAATAAAGCTCATAAACAAGTATTTACACTAATGTTTGACATTATTTGATTTTATCATTGTTTTCCAAAGCCTTCTAGTTGCGAGTATCTCCAGTTTAACAATTTGTCGCTTATCTTAATGCTGTCAAATCGCGAACGCCATGTTGTTTTCATAGCCGTCTTAATATTATAATACTGCAAATAATTAAAAATATTTATCGTTATTTTGACTTTATTTTTGACTTTAGCGGAAAAGTCATTATGAACTTTTTTGTTTAAAATTTGATGCTTTAACAGAAAAAAATATAATATACAGGGGTTTCCATTTAAAAAAATGTTATTTTACTGAAAAAAATCAAAATAACGACTCTCAATTGTTTTTTTTATTTCTCATTTTTACCAGCGTTAAAAATGCTACTAGTTTGCTGATTTAAACAACTTTGTATTTTTACTAATAACAAAGTTACCAATGGTGGACACTTAATTTGGATAACCCTGTATATATATATATATATATATAAATTATATATATATATATATATATATATATATATATATTAATGTATCATCAGCAAATAGTTGAACTTTGCAGTGTTGTAAAATTTCAGGAATATCGTTAATATATAAAATAAATAGTATTGGACCTAATTTGCAACCCTGTGGCACACCTACCGAAATGTTTTTAATGTTATGAAGGGTACAGGTCCATAAGGAGCTAAGTCGCCAAATGTTTATTTCGTACAAAACAGAGTTTAATTTTTAAAACTAGTAATTGA